GAGCCCTGATTCTGGTTCTGCTAGCTGCGAGACATGAGGCAAGGGGCGAAAAGTGCGTGCGGTGATCGCCGCGATCGAATTGCCTACGACCCGTCAAATGAGAGTCTGAGTCTGCTGCACCTTGCTGCATGGGCGGGGGGCAACACCCATGATGTGAGCTGCTTGCCGCGTGCCTTGCCTCTCGCGCGCGCGTAAACTTGCAGGGGGGTCCATCGTGCAGCTTCCCGCGTCTTACACTGCTGTGACGCTGCTGCGTCCACGCAACCACCCCTAGCTTTGCGTGCTCTCGTGTCCCAGCAGCCTCCTTCATGGAGCTGCGAGCGAGTGTTCACATGCCGGCCAACCTCTGGTCACGGAGCTTTGTCCACCTGCTGCTCCGGTGCAATGATCGATGCGGCTGAGTTCGTTGACCAGAAAATTGGGGTCGGTGGGCATGGATGACGGCACCCCGCTGCAGCCAAGCAGCTCTCTTTCATCTCAGCTCCTGCCATCGTCACGTCCTGCTCGCTCGACATCAACATATAATCAGAGCCCCCGGAGCGTCGTGGTTGCGGGCCCACTCGTGACTGACAAATTCATCCCTACCATCCTTCACCCTCTGAATCACGCCTCCACCTTCTTCGTTCACACCTTCCTCAGCTATCTCGTCGATCTACGCTGAGAGCTCCGCGACTTGCGTCACGTCGATTACAATCGGCCATTTCCACAAGCCACACACTCGACGGTCAACGATCAAGCTCTTCACCTCGCTTCAGCACCACCTTCGTCCATCATGAAGCTTTTGCGTGCTTTCGCTATCACCAGCATGCTGGCTGTTGCCTGCGTTGCAGCTGCTCCTAGTCTCGTCGAGCGCGTGAGTAGATCAGCACCGTGCGCTTCACCGCCGCCGCAGCCGTTGACACTCACGCTGACGCATTCTACCTCTTCTGATCAACGCATACAGTCACCCGAGCCACAGGGAAATCGGGCACCAAGCAGAATCCAATGGCGAAGTGAAGAGGCTGTAGAGGTCGAGAAACGCGAGGCGTTCAGCGGTCGCCCAATCTCCTGGAAGCGTGGTCCCCATCCCGAGGCAGACCCGCGTCGCCCTCCTTCCTGGAAACGCGAAGCCAATCCCGCACCTGAAGCCGAGGCACGTCGTCCTCCAAACTGGAAACGCGAGCGCAAGCTTGGCCCCGTTCGTCTGCCTGCTTGGTAGAGCACATCGAGCCTCGATGCATCGACCTGCTCAAGATGCCAACCTTCATCGAACACAACCCATGCTCCCAAGCTTCCTAGATCACCTCGACTCGAGCGATTCTCTACACTAGTCTGTCAAGGCTCAAGCCAATGTGACTTGGCCATCTCGGATACATCGCCACTTTCATTCGGTCACCGTTGAATCCGCACACTTTTCACATCGTCATCTCGTCGTCACCTTCCAGGCTCTACCGTCACAAGCAGCGCACCCCTCTTTGACTGACAGCAGGCTGTCTATCGGATGCACGCCTTCCGACGCACGCCGCTGGAGTCACGCCAAATGATCCATCAACCGCTTCTCTCCCCCCAAATTGATCGCATTCACCGTCGAGTTCGCGACCTCAGCTGTACATGGTCTTCAATCAAGCCCAAACCCCGCAGCGCAAGCCCTCCCTTGCGCCATCATCAAGACATCAATCAGCAGCGGTACCTGATTCATCACGTGGCGATCGACCGACAGACTGGTTCGATGCCTTCTCCACCCCTAGTTCTCACTACGTACCTCACTGTGATATAAGCTCTCGTCGACGCAAAGCACCTTGAATACATGTATGCGCGACCGCACTCGGTCAGCGCAACCGATTCTTTCGTCAGCTAATTGACTGCGTGACCCTCATCGCTAGTACAGACGGCTCAGCGGAACAATGATGCGACCACGATCTCGAAATCACCCACTGACGGTGCGAGCTGGTCGCGCTGATTTCACGCGTCAGACATGTGCCCGATCAGATGACCGCACCGTCGAGTCAGGGTAGGCGGTCAGGAGACGTGCATTCAAGCATGAGCAGAGGGTCACGGACGTGTCGCCCTGTACTACATGCTTGATTCAGCGATGAGATCGAAGCGCTTCTCGGCATCATTGCATGCCCATCGAGATCTGACCACCTCCTGGTCTCTCGTTGACGTAGTGCTCTTGCTGAGCGATGTGCGTTCTAGTGGGAGACGTCAGATGTCAGAGACTGGGTCAGTGTCGTCTCGCCGCGACTTGCTCCGACCCTTCCCGGAGCGGCGGTGTCTGTAACACGGATAGGCTACACCCATCTCTGTGCGTAATGCGCGGACAGCCGTGCCCAAGCAGCCAAGCAGTCTGCAACGTGCCGGTCTCGTCTCGATTTGACTCAGAGACACAGTTGCGCTCTTCGCATGGCCCCTCCGACAACCAGTCGCGCTCTTCGCATCACCCCTCCGACAACCAGTCACTCACTCGTCATCCTTTGCGGCCAGTTTGTGTCCGACCTCCTGCACCTTGTCCGTCACCTTGTGAAGCAGTCCGCTTACGCCAGACTCGTCGGTGTGCGTGCTTTCAGTGGCGCCAGACGAGAGTTCGTGAGTATTGAGGTCCTGCTTGGCTTCGGGGATGGTCTTGGACTCTTGAGAGAGTTCGCAATGGCAGCGGGAAGAGTGGAAGAGTGAGCGGCTGGGAAGGAGTACCATGTCCGCCTTGATTTGGTCAGCGTCCAGAGCTCGACTTACCGTCAGACATCTTGGAGCAGAATCACAGGTTTATTGGCGCTGCGAGTACGAGATGAGGGTGCTGAGGGTGATGGAGATCAGGAGCGAAGGTGTCCGATGAACCCAAGAGCCT